CCCCCCCCCCCCCTTCCAAAGAAAAATATCTTCACCGCTGTGAGAACTACAAAACTTACAAATGGTTAAGTAATTTAAATTTCATAAATAATTCTCAGGTTTATTTCGAGTTTTCTTACGAAATCTTACATTCCTATGCCTAATGGTTCATTATATTACCACACCTAAATGTGATTATACGTACGTATCACGAGGCTTAAATATTATTGTTTCACAAACAGAATTCCTCGATAGAAGTTAATTATGTGTTAGATCGGCCGCCATGTTGGTTATATTGATGGAACGGAGTTAATTAGAACAATAGAAAGGCTACTGGAGTTCGCTTGTAATTTCGTTTGGATATCGCTTTATCAACTGAATTGTTTGCGCGCAAATGTAACATCCTTATAGTGATGAATAGCGCTAATTTAAAATTTAAAATTTTAACATTTTAATTTTAAATTTTAACACCCAAATATAGTTTTGTATATTGACCTGTATTTTATTATACATTTTAATGAAGAGCAATGTCGATCATTTTTGTACGAATTCTTCCTTTTTCATCTCCCCTCCACCCTTAATCTTTTCTTACAAAACGGATCCAAGTTCTTTTTTTTGCGAAACTAACTGTAAAAACTATCGTCGAATTTGTTAAATAAGATTTTCCACTCCCCACGGCCTCCTGGGTGTCTTGTATCCTCTCCCCCCCCCCTCCTGCGTCTCCCTCGGCTCATAAAAACGAAGCCTTTGGTCTGCAGCGTGTTAAGCAATGCATATAAACATCTTCATTACGGGATGTGTTCGTCTTATTTTTCCCCACCACCACTTCTAGTCTTCGTATTCTATATGTGTGATAAGTTACTGGAACAACGACATAAAAGATATGATAAGAAATCGTGGAAGGCACCAGGGTTTCTGTTCAGGTGGTCGCAGGACTCTGAAGAAATTACTCTTTGCTGTTGGATGTACGAGGCGCGTCCCAAAAGTAAGTTTCCCACTTGTCCCACAGCTAGCAAACCTTATATTGCGCGAAGCGACTATGCGTACGTGATAGAGCAATGACGTAGCATGGCGCATGCACTAACGGTACTTCCCGCGTTCTCACAGTAGCATCGTTGCAGCTGTTGAAGATGGAGGTTCTTATTCCAGCTCCCGCCGACTGTGAAGTGCGGTCAGTGATAACGCTAGGCCGCACACGGCTCGACGGACAGCAAGTCTCCTGCAGGAGTTCAGCTGGGAGGTGTTTAATCATTCACCCTACAGCCCGGACCTCGCTCCCAGTGATTTCCATCTTTTCCTACACCTCAAGAAATTCCTGTCCGGTCAGCGTCAGCGTTTTGAGAATGACAGAGAGGCGGAGATGGCTGTCACACAGTGGTTCCAATCCCAGGCGGCAGACTTCTACGACACAGGTATTCAAAAGTTGGTCCCACGGTATGACAAATGTCTCAATTCCGGTGGCGAATATGTTGAAAAATAGCTAGACACTTGCTGTATCTGTTGCAATAAATATTTACATGAAATTGTGTTTTGTTTCTGTAAACGGAACCAGGAAAACTTACTTTGAGGACGCGCCTCGTACATACAATAATAATGAAATAATAATGAAAAATAGTACACAAACAGATTAACTTCATATTAGAAACGACATGTTTCGATGTACTAAGACATCATCTTCAGGTTATCAATTCTATTAATTTTATAAACTATTATATACTAAGCTGCGTTGCATTTATTGATTTTATGCGTTTGTGAATCCATCCATCTTCATGATTGATTTGGTGTTAATGTTTCGTTGTTTATTGTCTGTGGAATTAATTTCCAGTTATTATTATACAACTCTTATAGAAATGTATTTCTTATACATATTTATTGGTATGGAATTAACATAGGAAATTAATAAATACTATATATTATATATAAAATACAAAATACTGAAAAACATACCATGTTGTAATATGTTGTATCATGTCTGACACCGGGAGACGATAACCAGATACTGACGTATGTAAGTTGAGCAAGGTTTTATATTGAGATACAAATTCTAACATTTTATTTGCGAGGTTTAAGTTGTGAAACAGTTCCATCAACTTCTTTTAATAATTATAAACTACAAATTCTGCCCACATATCGTATATGTACGGTTTGTATGGTTCTCGAAGTAAGCAGAGATTATTTTCTTAAACAACGTTAATAAATTAATCTCTGTGATGGCGGAATGTACATTTTCTTTGCGATAAGAATTGTATGTTTAAATATTATCAAATAGCACTTTTAAGTAACAGCCATTTTTGACATGAGAAATAGAAAAGTAGAAAACTCTGCGTGATTCTCGAATCTGATTTTGTGTAGCCCGGAAATTATAGTCGTGTTTTGAATAAGTCACATTTTAATCAGCAGTCTACTGAAAGTTCTTTGCGAGAATTTTTTCCAGTGTTCTTACCTTCCAGGGAAAAATGAAGATGAGTTATACGACGCACTTCGACATTATTAAGTACCCGTGAGCTAATCACGGGAGCTGGTCGGTGTTTGAAGCGACGTGGAAGTTGTTGAAGTGTGTCCATGTCCCCAGAGAGTATGTGGGTCTATCTGTCTGTCCCTTAAATTCAAATACAGATACGCAAATAATCATCAAATAGCCTATTTAAATTGTACACAAGGCTAAAATATTTACTCTAATTCTCAAATGCACTTGTATATAAGAATTTCTTTGTCGTGCGTATTTGCTATCAAATGTGGTATGAAATAGGAAACCTCGTCTTTTAAGACCTTCTTTCATTTTATTAGAGTGCATTTCTTTTTATTTTGAAGTTTCGGTTACTGCTGGTACTGCCTCCTGCCGGCTACAAAGCGAATGATGAACGACCCATTGCATCCTTCTACGACATCTCCTTGTGATTATTTAATAATTACTACGGCTATCTGCCTGCAAAGCAAGAAGGGAATAAGTATTCTCAGAGAAACGTCCATTCTGCTAGTTCACACGCAAGAAACATTTTTATAATTGACGGACTGATTACCATAACAAATCGATATCTAATTAGGCACGAGTCATTTCTTGTACCACTGACGATAATTCTCTGTTTTTGTGGAACGCGTATGTGTGCCCACACTCGTTGTTATGAAATCTAGCCATTGGAACCTTTCCTGAGTCAGAATTCGTTCTCCAAAATTTATTTAAATGTTTTGATGTCATATATTCCTTTTCCAAGGTAGTCTGTTCCAAAAGTTTTTTCTTTAAAATTTTGTATGCATTTATTGTTTTACTATCTGTATTTCATATCGTAATAAAGTAAAATTTCTTGATTAAATATTGTTTTCATTCTTGGATGAGTAATTTCTTCCGTTATTACATTTTTGGTAGTTTCAAATGCGTTCCCCTTATCACTGCATTTAAATCGCTACTTGTTTTCATCGCGCGAAGAACATTATTGTAGCCTATGTTTCCTGAAAGAAGTTATACTTAATATGCTTCAGAACGTAAAACCAAAAATGTAAAAATGCATTCTAGTACATGAATTCCAAACATAATACAAATATAAACATTTTAAAAAAAATAATTAAAATATGTCTAATAATCTAATATTACATGGATAACCCCACTCCTGCGGGCCGAATTATGCCCGCGTATGGCTTTGATTTTTGTCTAACATGTCACCAGCTTAATATTTTTAAACTACAGATAAAAACTTCCTTGATAGGAAATATCATTGCTCGCTGCCTTGATGTGAAAACTAATCAGGCCCGATGTTACTTAAATTTTGTTCATGCCTGATCTAAAGGTTAATTTAATCACATAAATTCCTGCGTCTAAACCAATTAATAAGTTATGCTTTACAAAAACTAATTAATTAGAAAATCAGATACTTTCTATGATTGTAACCGGTCCAGTGTTGGATGTAACCTGCTGTAATATATCCCTTAGACATGTGCCCCTTTTGAATTTAAAACACCAAAGACATTTTACGTGGGTGGGATAATAATATTAAGTTGGTTCTGAATGAGCAGGGCTTAAAGCTATGAAATGGATTGAACTGGCTTAGGACGCAGTTCAGTGGCAGACTAGAGTGGATATTATGATAAAACTTAGGGTCTATAATACGCACCGAATTTGTTGATTAGCTGAGTGACTATCAGCTTCTCAGGAGAAAATTTGTTTCTTGGAGTTGGTAGCTTAAGATATCTGTGAATTTACTGTGTTATTATAACTGAGAAACACACCTTTTAGAGGCATTGGGAAGAGAAGTTCATTTTTAAGATCGGCTTTCTGCTAATTAATGTGAAACTATTGCCGAAGGCGAATACTTAACTATTATTAATCGAAACATATTGGCGAAGGTAACCGATAATTACATCTCCCTTACCCGAAGTAACAACTACGCGACATGATCACATGATCACCGTAATTCATTGAGCATGCGCACGACGTGAACGTCGTGACATCTGTTATCAGGTCTCAGAGTTATAATTCTTGTTTTGACTTACTCTTAATACTGGCCGTATTTTTAATATTTTAATAGTTTCCTGTCTGGGAAGAACTTCTAGGAATAAATTGTTTTAATACGTAAGAAATATTAAAATGTTGAAAATTTGTATGTAGTTATAACAAACATTAACTTGTCACCATAAAGTTTAACATAATCTATGCTAATTATCTTTACGACGTACAGTTTCAGCCACATTCATGTTCTTGAGCCCCCCCCCCTCCTTCCGATCCCAACAGCTTGAATTATGTTATAAGCAATAGACCTATATTTTTACGATATATACCGACGGTAATCTGCATTTCCGATCTTTTATCTGCATTCAGGGAACACGGGCTGCATTATACAGGTCAGTACACCGAAGTGACAGTGATTTGTGGCCAGGAAGGCAAACATGCGAACTGGAGTACGGTAAATAAGATGATATAACCATAAATTTATAATTTTGCGATTATTTTCTAAATTGTAAGGATAGAAGATTAATTTTCGTATTATTTCTAAATTTCAAGCAAATTCCTCTCACAGGGAAATAAAGTTATAAATTTAAAACGAAGCCACAAATGATTTCTGCATATTGCCTCAATAAACAGCCGAAGATTTCAGTGAACATTGCTCCTTTAGCGGAAGATTATCTGCGACGCTTGGACACTCACTCACATTTAAAATATCCTTTAGAACAGCGTCTCGTATAAATCTAATACAAATCAATGGCCAGTGATTTTCAGAGTCCGGATTTAGGTATCTGAACTTTATGAGCTCTGAGGTTCTCACGGCGTTGAAGATATCTGGGGACCAACGCCGTGTTGACTTGTAGGTAGATACCAACGATTCGAAAGAACATTCTGCCTTCTTCTTCATCTACGAAGAACATCATCTTGAAGTAACTGAACTGTCGTCAGAATTACTGATTTTCAAAAGGTTATTAATTTTCCAAATTAGCCTGATCATTTTCTGTGTTAAGAAGTAAGAATACGTATGGTTGAATAAGTAGCTTCAAGCTGCGGCCACATTTTCTCTGGGAAATAGCCTGCTGTTTCCATTTGGTCGTGGCTGAACGACTCCAGAGTTACTTCAGACGATTTGCAATGACAGACGGACAGACACAAACAATTAGTTAAAAGATTCCCTAATGATCAAAATTGAATAAAAATTTTCTTGGATATTATCCATCGTCTAGTAAATATAAAACGTAAAACGACGTTTCGGAGATGGGACTCTATCTCCGTCTTCAGGTTCCTACACAGTTGGGCCCACTAGATAGAGCTAATCCCTATCTCCGGA